ATGGGGAGTTAGACGGGGATGTTGGACATCGTGTTGGAGTGGCTTGGGCCAAATGGCGGTTGGCTTCAGGGGTATTGTGTGACCCAAAGATTTCGCCCAGGATGAAAGGCAAGTTCTACCGATCCGTAGTCAGACCTGCTATGTTATATGGGGCAGAGTGTTGGGCGGTTAAGAAGACTCATGTGCGTCGTCTGCATGCGGCGGAGATGCGGATGTTACGATGGATGTGTGGGAAGACAAGGTTGGATAGGATTTCGAACGAAGTTATTCGACGTCAGGTAGGCATGGCGCCGGTGGAAGATAAATTGCAGGAAGCGAGGTTGAGATGGTTTGGTCATGTGAGACGGCGGGATGCTGACGCCCCTGTACGGAGATGCGAGCGGATTACGGTTTTCGGGGGAAGTAGGGGAAGGGGTAGACCTAAGAAGAATTGGAAGGAAGTGATTAGACATGATTTAGGACTTCTCACCCTGACTGAGGATATGGCTTTAGATAGGAACCTTTGGAGAACTAGGATTAGAGTAGCTGGTTAGGAACTCGGTGCTATAGAGGTTTTTTGTAGTGTGTTGTGTTTGATTGGAATCTTCTATTAATGATTGTAGAACTTTCTTTTCATTGTACTTGGTGTTTTATCCATGCTATACTGTATACCCTATCATTTTTTGTGCAGGTTGAGCCGGGGGTCTCTTGGAAACAACCTCCCTGCTTCCAAGTAGGGGTAAGGTCTGCGTACACACACCCTCCCCAGACCCTACTGTAGTGAGATCCAACTGGGTTGTTGTTGTTGTTGTGGAACATTAAATCGATTAGCACAAAAAATCTATAGAGTATATATTGTCCACAGTTCGTACACTCTGTAGATAATGCATGTGAAGGGTCATTTTGTAGGACACGTGTCTCACCATAGAAAACATACATCAGGTTGTAATTAATCACTAATGTTACAAGAAAATTAAATACTCCGTAATACAGTAATGAATAGGAACGTACGAAGTATAGTAAGGAATTGGAAGACGCGTAAAATAACAAGGAATTGAAGAGGACTGGGGGGGCATGGTTTAGTTATTTATGGACGACACTGGAGAATTAACTTATTATGGCGAAGGAAATTAAACACAGAGGCGTACGTACAGCTGGTGCTAGTCGATCCCCTTTAGCAACGCGTTTTCCCTATTACTCTGTATATAATAATGCCTCAGGCTCTCATCATCACACGCCCCAGCCCACCTACCATACTAATCATTGTAATCAATGCCGTATCATTGTATGAACTGGCCCGGAGGATGTGCTAAAGTGGCCAACCGCACAGGGTCCTTTAAAATTTAGGGCACCATATTTTTAAATTTGTTAATAATTTTAAAGCAAAAGTATTCTAAAAATATAAAATAGAGCACAAAATGTAAATTCTGGCCCGAACCAATTTTATTTTTTCATTTTTCGGGACCGGCCCTAGTATGAACGAAAGAAATTTTGGACAAGCTGGGGCTCAATGAACTAGTGCGCATGCATTTCAGCTGGTTCCTTCCATTATTACATAGCACGACTACGGCGGCCCAATACTACACATTATTTACTCTCTCTATCTCATTCGGAGTATATTTCATCACAAACAACTTGCATAACCCATCCATCTCTTTACAAATAATTTTAAATTTTACTTACAAATTATTGGTATCTAAATAAAAACTATAAATTATAGAGAAATTTACCTAAATAGGACTAAAACATAACGACTTTCCCAATATAGGACCATAAGTTTTTATTTCCCAATGTAGGACTTTTGGTCATTAACAAGTAGTCATTATTCAAGTAAATGTCTAGCATTACTGGACATTATTCCTCACACGAGGTCATTATTAAGTCCTATTTAGGGAATAAAAAAGCTTAAGTCCTACATTAGGAAAGTCATTATGTTTTAGTCCTATTTAGTGCAAATTTCACTAAATTATACCGTTCTATTTGGCGACCAATTTGTAAACGACCTACATCGTGAAATATTAAAAAAGTATGAGACAAAACCAAAAACAAGTGTAGTTGCTTCCCGTGAAACCAGGTACTCTGTCTTCAATTATCGGTAGATATTAATTATCATATAATTAAAATAAATAAATAAAATATATATTTATAAACTAATATTCTAATCGGTACATCTATCAAATAAATAAATAAATAAATACACACACACAAATATATATATATATATATATATATATATATATGTATGTATATATATATATATATATGTATGTATGTATGTATATATATATATATATATATATATATACATACATATATATATATATATATATATGTATGTATGTATGTATGTATATATCAAAGCTATTTTATGTACATCTTTAAATATATATTTTACATAATTAGTAAACATCATTTTGATAAACTTAATTATCATATATTTAAAAATATAATTTACAACTACTTATTTACGTCACATGTAAATAATAATATATACTTTTAATATTTTACTCTGTTCCATTATTCTACGTGTGCGTCCCTTCTAGGTATTTATAATGTTGGCAATAATATTAATTTATAATTAATACTCCCTTCGTCCCATAAAGTGTTACCCATTTTGACTGAAGTGGAAATTAAGGAAGGGATAATTTTGTGTTGACTTTCCAAAAATACCCTTGATGTGATAGGTAAAAGTAGGATATGATGTGTAGATTTTAGGAAAAAGGTATGATGTGATAGGTAGGGTTTGAAAAGGTAAGGGGTAAAAGTGGTTTTTTAATAGAAATGGGTAGGAGATTGTGGGACGCAATTTTTTTGAAACGTGTAAATCTTTTTGGGACGGAGGGAGTATTATAAATGATAAGTGATATCTAGCAACACATTATCATTACCCCAAGTTATGTACATTATGCTCATTGCAGCAATACCTCCGACGACACATTACATTTGTATAAATCTTATCATTTTATGTTTAACATCTTGATTTAACAAAAGGCAATGTAAATGTAACCTTGTTAGTGTTGGAATTTTTGGCATTTTTAATAGGCATTAAATGGACCAATTTGGGTATATTTGTCAATAGGTCCACTAACAGTTTTAACCGTTAATTAATGGACGTGTGTTATCTTAAATGAGATAAATGTTTTGACAATTTATACGCCAAAAAAATGGGAGAGGGTGAATGAGAAATTGATTCTCAGAGTTAACCCGTTAATAAAAGAAAATGGCAAGGATTGGAATTTTTGCAATTTTACTGAACCAATCTTCTTTTAATAATTTTACGTATTGTTTAAAATTAGTCCATTTTTACGGAGTTAACTGGCCATTAATCTCCAATTATTTGGGACAAATTTTAAACGGAGTGTAGCGTAACAGACATGTTAATGGCTAATAAATTACCATTAACACACCATTTGTAACACCCGCCTTCCGTGGACCCGGTTCACCCGCGACCCAACGGACCAGTAGGGTTACATGGGCGGTCCGAGAACTGTCCGTAGAGAAAAGAACATTAATGTCTATTTATTGTGGAAACGGTTACGTCTTATTGGTGAAATAAATGCTAGGAAATTAATTCCAAAACGTGTGTGATTTAAATGCAGAGTAAAAGCAGAAGTAAATAAATAAGTCCAAAATAAGTAAAATGACATATGGTGGGTTCATGCCCAAATGAGTAATTAATTAAATGTATTTATTTATTGAACTCGTCCATGCGCCGCCCATCCTTCCATCATCACTGTCCTCCAGGGTTAGCACATGTACTGTCATGCTACCTGCGTGTAGCAAAAACAACTACACGCTCAGCAAAAGCTGAGTAAATCTAATAAAAGAACATTAAGTGATAACCCATATGGCTATACACATATTAATACATGTACTTAACGTACGGAAAACCACATGTTTACTAACTATTCAATTTGCACTTGATGGGATACTATTACACATAACAAAATGAATAACAACCACATTGAACGTAACGTTGATGTGACGTGGAACATACATGATGATGACGACCACATTGAATGTTGACATGACATGGAACACACATGATGACGATATGACTTGATGCATGACTTAAACTATTAGGTGTTAGACGCCTCGCACACCTCTAGAGGGAGTGGGTGAATAGAGGTGTTGCCCAAAAGACCAGTTTTTTTTGTGCGGAAACGTTCTTCACGAATATTCAATAAAAACAATGCACCACAAACAAAATAAAGTAAAGGATAAGAGCAATGCACACACGATATATACTGGTTCGGCCTAAATGCCTACATTCAGTCCCCGAAGCAATCGTGCCCAGGCCTTCACTAACCCGTCAAACTTAACGGAGTTTGACAATCCGAATACAACTCGAGAACTTGATTTCACAAGCCTCTTAGCTTACCACCGAAGTTTTGATTTCACAAAACTCAGGATTTCTTCCACCTAACGTTTGATTTCACAAACCGTTAGCATTTCTACCACTTGATGTAATCCTAACACCAAGAATACAAATCCCTTACAATAATGTAAGAAAACAAACCGCAACCGAGTAATTCTCCCAACACGGAGTAGATTGTTGCAAATACAATGAACTCCTTTAGAATATGGCAATATCTCTCAAAGACTCGAGCAATGAGCCGTTTGGTAGTTGAAACTGTCGAACTATTCGACTAAATCAAGACTTAGTCGACTAGTTTTAGTGAAACTGCAATCTGACTTATTCAACTAGTTCTGGATTTATTCAACTAAGCCAGAATAGAATTTCAGGGATTTATTCGAAAAGTTTTCAATTTATTCGAATAATTTGCTGAAAAAATTGTGTTTTAAAGGTAGGATGATAAGGGAATGAACCTTAGAGATGCCATACTCTTTAACACAAAATCTAAGACCTAAAACACTACCCAACTAAGGAAACAACCTCTTCGGTCTCGTTCCTTCCACTGATGCTCAAGTCCCTTCTTCACGGACGGATATGAACTTGTTGTAGCTTTGATTCTTAGCATTGATGCACAATATGATGATGATGTTTTGTCACCCGTTTGTCATTATCAAAACCTAAAAGACAATGGGCAAAGAACATTACAAGAATATATATTCATGAAAGCACATTGTCCAACATCAGGGACACCCCTGGCTTAGTCTCACTTGACAGGATCACCCCTGCACTCCGGTAATGAGCCGGGCTCGACGTAAATGTCGCAAGTGAACTAGCAAAACTGGGTAGTAGCCGTAACCTGACTACTATGTACGTACACAAGGCCCACTTGATGAAAATCCGTTGGATCCCGAAGGTTCCTGGACGGGCCCATTGTAGTAGGCGCACGAAAGCCTAACCTCCCTACAGCGGTATGCACATGATGATAAACTTATGACATGCGTCTACAATGAACATGATGAATGCTTGATTTATTTACCTTTGGTCAACGCCAAGAATATATCAATTAAATAGCATACATAATGAAGATTAACATTTCTTGCAAATATACAAACAGATTCTGGGTCAACATGGTTAACGGGGCTCGTTCTACAAACTGCCCGGAATTCTGCCCGCGGAACGGTCAATTGTGTCCTACCGGCGGTTGACCGTGGGCTATGGTCTGGGTCTGGGTCACAAACGGTCCACCGTGGTCTCCCGTCATGGCTGACAGTCGACCGTCCCGGCGGTGACCATTGGACTGGCCGAGGGTACGGTCCACCGTCTGAGGTAACGGTCGACCGTCGTCCCGGTGACAGTCTTCTGTCCTTGGCTACGTTTTGATCCATTTTGAAAACTTAACACCTTGATTCTTTTTGGAACAATCATGTAAACTTTGGTGAATATATTCCTAGTGATTCCTAGGCCAATATATACGAGATTTACGTAGTGAACATTTTGATGGCTAACCTACGGACATGCATAGATTCTACGTAGGTTGCGTACGATATTCCTATGAATATAACGACATAGATTATAACTTAATGTTCTAGAATTAGAGGGGACAACTAATCACCTCTAAATGATGGGGTTGACGGAATGATATGACGAGATGAACGAATGGATGACGATGAATGAACGACAAATGGTTTTTCGTGGTCACCTCCTTCTCTTCTTCCTCCTCGTCTACTCGCCGGAACCGTCTCCCTGGGCTGCTACTGCTTGGCCGAACAAGAGATGGGAGAAGGGAGTTGAGTGTGTGAGTGAAGGTTACAAAATGTGATGGGGAAGTGAAGAGAGAAGGGGGGTTTAAATGGAGAACAAGAATGGGGAATTAATGGTTACTAATGAGGAATTAAAGGGAGAGAAGTTATGGGAGAGGAAGGGTGTGGCGTGGGAGAGGATTGGATGGGGAGTTATCTCCCTAAAATTTACTCCGTTGTGTAAAATCTGATATGAACGATACACGGTTTTCCCCCCGAACGGGTCTGAATTGATATTCATTTGCGTTTTTGGAATCAGACAGTCAAAACGAATTTAAGGACATGTTCAAATAATTTTTCTAAGAACTTTATTTTCAAACTTCCGGATCCACCCCAATCATTAATTAATTCATTTAATTAATTTTGAGAGGTCCGTTATTAAAACATCTTTTTATATTAACATACATTAGCTTTAAAAGCCATTTAAAGAGATCAAAATCTCAATATTTATTAATTTAAAATAATAAGTCTCAATAAATAAATAATATTTATTTAATTAAAACTAGGCCGGTTTGAGGGCGTTACACCATTAGTGTGCCACAAATGTCATGTTTAATACTATGCCTTAATGGTGTGTAGCAGGGCCGGCCCATAGAGGGGACAAGGTGGCCGTTCGGGCCGGGCCCAAAAATTTTGGGGGCACAAATTTTTTTTTAGTAATATATATATATATATATATATATATATATATATATATATATATATATATATATATATATATATATATATATATATATCTGTGTGTGTGTGTGTGTGTGTATGTATATAAGCCCAGCCCAGTCCAGTAGTCCACCAAATCACCAATGCCTTAACTTAGACCAAAAAAAGAACGGAAATGCGGAAGGGAGTGCCGATCGAACTGATGAAGAAACCAGAGTCGATTGAGTGCCGATCGAATTCACTGACGGAAGGAAAGTGCCGATTGAGTCGCCGCAAGCCGCCTCCACCGCCGGACGCCGAGTCGCCGATATGCACCCTCCAGGTAAAATTCATAGCCTTCCCTTTCCAATTTTGTAATTTTTATTAATTTATTTCTTAAATCTTAATTTTCTTTCATTGTTTCATTATTTAGATTTAAAATCTAGGGTTAGTTATTAGTTTTAAATTTGAAATCTTTTCTTATTTCATTCTTTGAAATAGAATGAATGAATGGTTCTATATGTTATTTATTTGATTTTGGATGAATTGTTTTGAATTTGTTATTTATGATAATTATATATTTATATTAAAAAAAACTGAAAACCGAAAAAAAAAATTAAAAACTGAAAAATTGTGGAATTGATATGAATTTATGATTTATTAAAAAAATTAAAACTGAAAAATAAACAAAATAATAAAAAAGGAAAAATTGACGAATTGATATTAATTTATGAAATATTTATTTATTTATTTGATTGCTTTTTTCAGTTTTTTATTCTTGATTTTACTTAGTAGAAGGAAAAAAAGAGTTGATGAGAGTTCAAGTAGCGAAGAAGTTTCATTTACAAATGAAGAGAATTTCAGGGTCAATTTCTTCTCTTATGTTGTGGATAAAGCCATATCTTCTCTTGAGATGAGATTTGAACAATTCAAAGACTATGAGAGATTATTTGGGTTTTTGTTTCCACATAAGTTGAGTGGAATTGAAGATAAAGAGCTTAAGTTGTTTTGCCATCAACTTGAAAATCCACTCAAGTTTTAAGAAAGATCGGATATTGATGCCGAAGAGCTTTACATGGAGTTGAAATCATTCAACACATTACAAACCAGTGAATTTAGCAATCCCATAGCTTTACATGTAATTATAATACTTTAATTTTGTCATTTATTTTTTTTCTTTTAATAATATTGCGTTAATTATAATTTAGATATAATTAGTTTACATATGTGAAATTTTTAGACCATTAAATAAAAGATTTTTAGGGCCTTTTTTCTGTTTCGGCCCGGGCTGATGAATCCTCAAGACCAGCCCTGGTGTGTTGGTTACACCTTTTTAAAATAGCTTAGTTATAAAGGTAAAGGGCTCTCTCCATTTTTCTTGTGAGCTTCACGTGAGAAAGAAAAGGAAAAAGAAAGAAAACCTTTCTTGTTCATTTTTTGAGAGAGCTCTTGACCTTCCGGCCAAATTTTCCGGCCATCCCCTTTAAAGTTTTTGGTTGCCAACATTCCTACGTTGTTCTTGTTCGTTGGTGTGTGGTAGGTCCGTACAATCTCCACACACGATAGCGGTTTTATCCTGGGAGGAGAGTGCCCACGTTTTTCCGGTACGGTAGGCGGGCACTACTACCTTAAGGACAGCTCCGGCGACTCCGCTGTCCTTCCGTGCTGTTTTTCTTTGCAAGACTAGTTCATAAAGACCTCGCTGCATTCTGTCCTAGTGCATAATGTCCTCGCAGCCCTGTGCATAACGTCTTTGAATCACTGTCCAGTGCTTAAAGACCTCGTTGTCCAGTGCTTAACGTCCTCGCTGTCTAGTGCTTAATGTCCTCGTACAACAAAGCCGTTTGAAGATATAGAAATTTATTTTCCAACTTTGTTTATTTTGTAATATTCTGAATAAATTATAAATTCAGAATTTTATTTATTTTTGTTTCCGGGGCTGTTCATCCTCCCCGTCCATTGTAATCCGTACGAGAATTGTAACAATCTTAAGGTAGTAGTCATATCCGTGTGCAATGGCGGGTATGGACGGATTCGGTTTTGACGCTCACACTGGAAACAGGAGTAGTTCCGAGACTCCAATTGTGAACGTTTCGGCTGGATTGGGTGGCTCTGTTGGGCAAACCACTCCGATCAACATTCCTTTCGGATCGAGTGCGTCCATGGGGTCCACTCCGATCACCGCCTTCGTTGGATCGAGCACGACTATGGGGTCCGCTCCGGTCACCTCGGTTATTGGACCAACCGCGGCTACGGCTACAATGGTCACCCCACTCGGACCGAATATGGATTCGGCCATACCGGTCATTCCCTCACTTGGACCAAACGCGGGTGTCTTCACATCCGCACTGGTCGGACATCCTACTGTCATGCTGCCTGCGAACTCTGTCAAAGAACCAGCGAAGTTCACAGGTGTTGGCTTTAAAATATGGCAGCAAAGGATGTTATTTTGGCTGACCACCCTCAACCTTGCAAGGTATTTGAGGGAGGATCCCCCTGTTGTGGGGGAGAACGCGTATGAGCCAACAGTTCAGGCTAAAGAGGCATGGATAGCGAATAACTATACGTGCCTTAATCTTATCCTGAATTGCTTGAGCGATGCCTTATATGCTGCTTATAGCAGAGCTGCATCCGCAAAGGAGTTATGGACTACACTGTCCAACAAATACCAGGCCGAGGACGCCATTGCGAAGAAATTCGTTGTCGGTAAGGTCATGGATTTTAAGATGGTGGATTCCAAACCCGTGGTCAGTCAAGCTGAAGAATTGATTCTCATTTTTAATGAGTGCACTGACGAGGGAATGGGAGTCAGTGAGGCATTCCAAGTGGCGACGATTATTCATGTGCTCCCTCCAGCTTGGGATGAGTTCTGGAGCTATCTCAAGCTCAAACGGAAAGAAATGACTTTAGAACAGTTGCTTGTTCGTCTCCGGATCCGTGAAGAGGGTCTCACTCGCGAAAAGAAAGTAGCTGTTGCTAAGGCCAATGTGGTGGAGCATCCACCCAAAGAGGGTTCTTCCAAAGGGCCCAAGCCAAATAAGGACAAGAAGAAAATTGGTCCTAAAGGAGGTGTCGCGAAGCCCATGTTCGCAGGGAAATGCTACAACTGTGGCATTATGGACCATCGTTCTTCAGAGTACCGCAAGAAGCCTCAGAAGAAGAAGCAGAAGAAGGAAGAAGCTCTCTGCTCGGAGCTAGATGCTATGGATCTTTGTGCTGTCGTGATAGAGGTCAACCTGGTCGGGTCTAACCCGAAAGAGTGGTGGGTTGACACTGGAGCCACTCGTCATATCTGCTCCAATCGGGCCATGCTCTTTGACTTTAAGGAGACTTCTGGCGACAAGGTGTGGATGGGCAACTCCGCCTAGTCCGAGGTTCAAGGCGTGGGCAAAGTTAAGCTCAAGATGACATCCGGCAAGGAGCTCACGCTGAATGATGTGTTGTATGTGCCGGACATACGAAAGAACTTGGTGTCAGGCTCACTATTGAACAAACATGGATTCCGCAGGTGTTCGAGTCTGATAAGCTGATCTTGAGCAAAAAGGGAATATTCATAGGCAAAGGTTATATTTCTGATGGGCTTTTTAAGCTTAATGTACTCACTGTTGTTGAGAAAGTTAATAAAACTCCTGTTGCCTATGTTTGTGAGTCTTCCGATGTGTGGCATGGAAGACTAGGACATGTTAATTATGCATCTCTTTGGAAATTAATTAACATGGAATATTTCCCTAAGTTTGACATCGACTTGTCCCACAAATGTGAGATGTGTGTCGAAGCAAAGTCAACACGAAGTTCGTTTCAAACAATTGAACGAACCACTCAGTCACTGGATTTAATTCACACGGATTTGTGTGATTTCAAAGCAACGCCTTCAAGAGGTGGTAACAAATATGTTATTACTTTTGTCGATGATAGCACGAAGCATTGCTATATTTATTTACTTAAAAGTAAAGATGAGGCGTTGGACACTTTCATTCGGTATAAGAATGAAGTCGAAAATCAAATCAATCGCAAAATTAAAGCTATTAGGAGTGATAGGGGCGGGGAGTACGAAGCTCCAATCGCCGAATTGTGTGTACAACATGGGATTGTGCATCAGGTAACTCCGCCATACACACCCCAATCAAACGGTGTGGCGGAACGGAAAAATTGCACTCTCAAAGATATGATGAATGCGATGTTGCTTAGTTTGGGGCTACCCCAAAATATGTGGGGGAGGCTATTTTATCTAGAAATTATTTGTTAAATAAAATACCCCGAAAGAAACTCAATAAGACTCCTTACGAGTTGTGGTATAATAGGAAACCTTCCTATAAATACCTGAAAGTGTGGGGGTGCCTTGCAAAAGTTTTAGCACCACCACCAAAGAAAATAAAGATTGGTCCAAAAACCGTTGATGGAATCTTTATTGGCTACAGTGGTAGCGCGTATCAATTCTTAGTGTATAGGTCTGATAATCCAGAAATACATAAGAACACGATAATGGAATCGAGGAATGCAACATTCTTCGAAAATATATTTCCGTTAAAGTTGAGGGAAGAAGCAAATTCTTCCAAATGTTCACATGATGAAATGTTGAACGATGGTTCCTCGGATCAGTCTAATACCGATATAATTGATGAAACCGAAACTGAGACTGAACTAAGACGAAGTAAGAGGACACGGACTAAGAAGTCCTTTTGTAATGATTTTCTAATTTATTTGTTGGAATTTGAATCGGGAACTCTATCATTTCTGATAGAGACTGAACCCGATATTCTAACATGTTTATTAGAAAATGAACCACGAACTTATCGTGAAGTAGTGACTTCTTCTGAAGGCCCTCAGTAGAAAGAGGCAATTAAAAGTGAAGTTGATTCTATTATGCAGAATCACACTTTGGATTTAGTGAATCTACCTCCCGGATGCAAACTGTTAGGTTCTAAGTGGATCTTTCGGAGGAAAATGAAACTAGATGGTTCCATTGATAAGTACAAAGCCAGACTTGTAATTAAGGGTTACAATCAACGTGAGGGCTTTGATTATTTTGATACATATGCCCCTGTGTCAAGGATAAATTACATCAGGATGATACTTGCAATAGCTTCCTTGCGGAACTTAGAAGTTCATCAAATGGATGTGAAAACAGCTTTCCTTAATGGAGATCTAGAAGAAGAGATCTACATGGAACAACCAGAAGGGTTTATAGTTCCTGGTCAAGAAAGGAAAGTATGTAAACTTGTTAAGTCATTATATGGTCTTAAACAGGCGCCAAAAGTATGGCATGAGAAGTTTGACCAGGTAATGATGAACTCTGGGTTCAAAATTAATGAATCAAACAACTGTGTTTATCTAAAAAACACATCACAATGGTATGTCATGTTGTGTCTATATGTAGACGACATACTCATAGTTGGTAGCGATGACAAGATGGTCAAGTCTACCAAAGACATGTTAAACTCGCGATTTGACAAGAAAGATATGGGTCTGGCTGAAGTAATTCTTGGAATTAAAATTGTGAGAAGACCTGGGGGTCTAGCACTGAGCCAATCCCATTATATTGATAAAATCCTTGACAAGTTCAACAAGGATGACGTTAGAGTAGCAAAGACGCCGTTGGACGTCAATGCACACCTGGCTAAAAACCGAGGTTCTAGTAACTCTCAAATCGAGTATGCGAGAGTTATTGGAAGTTTGATACATCTAATGAGTTGCACTCGACCAGATTTAGCCTGTGCCATAAGTAAGCTGAGTAAATACACCAGCAATCCGAGTGATGAGCACTGGAAGGCTATTGTACGTGTGATGAGATACCTGCGGTATACACGTGACTATGGATTATGCTACTCGAGATATCCACTGGTACTGGAAGGATACTCGGATGCAAATTGGATATCTGATAGTAAATACTTGAAGTCCACAAGTGGATATGTCTTTACGCTAGCGGGTGCAGCGATATCTTGGAAATCCTCAAAGCAAACAGTGATTTCTAGGTCCACCATGGAGTCTGAGTTTATAGCTCTAGACAAATGTAGAGAGGAAGCTGAATGGCTACGCCACTTCCTAGAGGACATTCCAAGATGGGATAAACCAGTCCCACCAGTTTGCATCTATTGTGATTGTCAATCAGCAAAAGGACGTGCAAAGAGTAATATGTATAATGGTAAGTCTAGGCATATTCGTCGTAGACACAAAACCATTAGACAACTTCTCACAACTGGGATTATCACAATTGACTATGTGAAGTCAAAAGATAATCTGGCGGATCCTCTAACCAAAGGGTTAACAAATAAGTTGCATGAGAAGTTGGTGGCAGGAATGGGTCTGAAGCCTTTGTCCTAGGACAGTCCTATGAAGGAAAACCCAACCTGGCTGGTACCCAGGTTCAATGGGACAACCTACTTGTAGAATAAAGCGAGGTCACTGTGGGGGCGGTACCGGAACCTCCGGTCAGTCCCTTCTGTTCCTGCTGAGGACAGTGACTCCCGAAAATGATGAGGTTAGCATATAAATATGCTTTAATGATTCTTAACCAATAGACACGGTGGTCTAAGGGGAGTAATCGGGATACTCTTAAAGAATCACCTATGTAAGAGTGAAGTGTGGTCGCTTCAAACGGAGGATCTTGGGCTTAATCCTCTAAACACTCTCGCAGAACCAGGCGCGTGTCCCACGACCAAAATGGGCACAACAATGAGAACAAAATGACGTTTGGTTGGAATCTGTGTATGGTATACTATCGTTTACACAAGCGGCAGTACAGTTCAAAGACATTGCGTTCTACTAAACAGCCAGTAAAGAAGGTATACTTTACAAGGGACACGTTCAAAAGTGGAGACACTTACATGTTCTTTGCAGGTTTTCAACCGTGGGATGTTGTCGACCCCCAAATCAATTTTTCATTCATGTGGGGGATTGTTGGAATTTTTGGCATTTTTAATAGGCATTAAATGGACCAATTTGGGTATATTTGTCAATAGGTCCACTAACAATTTTAACCGTTAATTAATGGACGTGTATTATCTTAAATGAGATAAATGTTTTGACAATTTATACGCCAAAAAAATGGTAGAGGGTGAATGAGAAATTGATTCTCAGAGTTAACCCGTTAATAAAAGAATATGGTAAGAATTGCAATTTTTGCAATTTTACTAAGCCAATCTTCTTTTATTAATTATAAGTATTGTTTAAATTTAGTCCATTTTTACGGAGTTAACTGGCCATTAATCTCCAATTATTCGGGACAAATTTTAAACGGAGCGTAACGGACATATTAATGGCTAATAAATCACCATTAACTCACCATTAGTGTGCCACAAATGCCATGTTTAATACTAAGCCTTAATGGTGTGTAGGTTACACCTTTTTAAAATAGATTAGTTATAAAGGTAAAGGGATCTCTCCATTTTTCTTGTGAGCTTCACGTGAGAAAGAAAAGGAAAAAGAAAGAAAACCTTTCTTGTTCATTTTTTGAGAGAGCTCTTGACCTTCCGGCCAAATTTTCCGACCATCCCCTTTAAAGTTTTTTGTTGCTAACATTCCTACGTTGTTCTTGTTCGTTGGTGTGTGGTAGGTCCGTACAATCTCCACACACGATAGCGGTTTTATCCTGGGAGGAGAGCGCCCACGTTTTTCCGGTACAGTAGGCGGGCACTACAACCTTAAGGACAGCTCCGGCGACTCCGCTGTCCTTCCGTGGTGTTTTTCTTTGCAGGACTTGTTCATAAAGACCTCGCTGCATTCTGTCCTAGTGCATAGGCAGCCCTGTGCATAACTTCCTTGAATCGCTGTCCAGTGCTTAAAGACCTCGATGTTCAGTGCTTAACGTCCTCGCTGTCTAGTGCTTAATGTCCTCATACAACAAGGCCGTTTGAAGATATAGAAATTTATTTTCCAACTTTGTTTATTTTGTAATATTCTGAATAAATTATAAATTCGGAATTTTATTTATTTTTGTTTCCAGGGCCGTTCATCTTCCCCGTCCGTTGTAATCTGTACGAGAATTGTAACAGTTAGAATTAAATATTTGGTTTACTAGCTGATTCTTAGATTGACTTGTGGGATTAAAAAAACGTTAATATCAAATATATTAAAAAATTAAAAAAACAATCTCTTTTTACACTAATGCTCATTTCTCATTTTCTGTTTATATTGTTATTTATTTTTTCCTTTTTCTATTTTTTAAAAAATAATTTTATACTGTTTCTTTTATTTTAATCAAAATTCAAATAAAGGAAAATAGTACTCCCTCCGTCCCACAAAGCTTTTTTTATTTTGACTTTTAAAGGATTTAAAGGGAGTGTATTGTATTTTGGTGTTAATTTTCCTAAAATGTCCTTAGATGTGATGGGTAAAAGTAGGGGTGCATACAAATCAAATAAAATGTATTTCATTCGTGATTCGTATTCGAAAAGGATGATTCGTATTCGCTATATTCGAATTGGAATCCAAATACAAACCATATTTTAGATTCAAATTATTTTCGAATCCGAATACAAATATTATTAGATTTGATTTGTATATTATTTAAATTATTCAAATATTATAATTTATAAATAAATTTATATATATTCTAACATATTTTTACTACTTTTTTTTACTACATTTTACATTATTATAAAATAATAATTTAATGTCTTTAAGAAATCTGTTTTAAGCAGGTTAAGAATTAATAGTGAAAATGTGTAATGTGATAAGCAGGTTAAGAATTAATAGAGTTAAAATGAACTTTTTGATAGAAATGAGAAAGATTTTTTGGGATGGATGAAAACAGAAATGAGAAATTTTTTTTGGGATGGAGGGTGTAGAAAAGAAAGAAATAAAAAAATTATACTCTCTCCGTCCCCCAGTTTTTGTCCACTTTTGACTTTTGAAACTGTTTATCTAAGTACTTTGACTCATCAAATTCTCTCAATGTGTAACCCTAAATATAGTCATGTGTGATCTTGTTTGACTTGTCTTAACATATATATTATTAATATATAATTTCTATAATTTTTTAATATACAAATTACAAGATAAAATGGATTTAAAAAGTGCATTGGATGGTGTGTAAAAATGAAAGTGGACAAAAACGGGGGTACGGAGGGAGTATGAAAATTAAGTCATGAAGGAAGTAACTTGTACATCTGTTTAAAATATATTATAAATATATAATTAACTATATATTAAAAAGACTTCACTAAGTATTCTTTTGGTTTTGACATATATATTTAATTTGATAAATGAAGTATATGCTAAATTTTATATTTCATTTTTTTTCAAATACAAACTTTTTTTATTTTTTAAATTTTTTAAAATATAGTTTTGAAAAGAAATAATTATTTAAACGTAATATTTTTTTCTTCTCTTTATAAAAAAAAAGAAAAAAATGAGAGGGGACGTACGGGTTGGTACTCATTTCTTAAACCATAGGGACAGCAAAGTTGTTAACTTAATATTTGAAGAGTATTTTTGTCCAGGTAGACATTGGCTTAGCAATATCAAAATCCTGAGGGAGAACGATTTGAGTACCGTTCCGTTCAACTTATTTTTTCTGCTTTTTTCTTATTCTTATTAAAATCAGATTAGCTCAGATCATACCAGATCAGATAAAATCTTATCAGATCAGATCAGATCGAATCTGATCATATCAGATCAGATCCAATCAGATGAGATCCAATCAGATCATATCAGATCATATCCAATCAAGAATTATTATTATTATTATTATTATTATTAGTATTATTATTATTATTATTATTATTATTAAAAATGAAAAATAATAAACTTTAGAAACAAGTAAAATAGAAAAATGAGAAAATAATCCTTAGTTATCAGACGTCGGAAAAATTATTTTTAAAATACATTGACTATGTCAATCTCATTCTAATTTTAAAATACATTTTTATTGCTACCTATAATTTGAGTTTCTAAAGTTTCGATCTTTTACTACATCGAGTTGATCAACTTTGATCATGACTTAAATAAAATTAACATTTGAAATTCATATACGGAGTATATTTTAGTATAACTAAAATAAGTATTATATCTATGGTGTTATATTAATTATAAAAAAAATTTCGTAGTACAAAGCACACGTTGATATTTTATAAGGATGAGATATTTTAATATAAATACTATTTCTTCTCTAAATTGATTATCTAAATTAATTACTTTTTAATGTATATATGAGTTAAATATTTATTCTAATGTATATATGAACTAATTATTAAAATATTAAATCAATAATCTTATTTCATAAAAAAATAATCATAAAATAAAAAATATTATTACATTATAATATAAATGATTATTCTAATATATGAATTAACTAATTTTATTTCATTAAAAAATAACCATAAAATAAAAAATATTGATTATATTTGTAATATGAATTATCATTACAATTGTCAAATGTTATTATAAAGTCAAATCAAATTATTGATTTGAATTTTAAATTAAATCATAATTAATAAGATTAGATCAAACCAGATCAGATCCAATCAGATCAGATCAGATCCAATCAGATTAGATCTGACCAGACCAGATCATATCAGAATTACAAAAAATCAGATCAGATCAGAATAAATAAGTTCAGCGGAACGGAGCCTTAGTTTTGAAATCACTAGGATTAACGGTGCATATTTTATCAAACCAGAAAAAAATATGTGAAATTTGCACTGAATAGGACTAAAACATAAGTCATTTCCCAATGTAGACTTAAACTTTTTTATTCCCTAAATAGGACTTAATAATGACTAGTGAGAAGAATAATATCCAAGTGATGCTGGACATTTAGTTGAATAATGACTAATAGATAATGACCAATGGTCCTACATTGGGAAATAAAAACATTTGATCCTATATTGAAAAAGTCATTATGTTTTAATTTAGTCCTATTTAGATATATTACTCAAAAAAAATATTGGTCTAATGAACGCTTTTAAGAATGTGTCCACATATGGCAATTTCCTTTATGCTCCCCAAACAAAGGCAAACTGGTACTTGTGTTACGAAAGTAAACCCTGTTTTGAATATATTGTTTGACAAGGTAGAAATGAAGAAGTGGAAATGATCTGTCCCCCATGTTTGATGTTTGCATGTGGGCGTTACTAACCTTTGACTAAAGAAAAATGCTAGGGGTACACCAAAGGTGTACCCCAAATGTCCCTCACCCTCTCTTTGTCCACTAAAAAAGGTAAAAAAAATTCAAAAAAAATAAGTATATAAAAATCAAATAAAAATGTGTGAAGGAAAAGAGGGTGGTGTACATTTGGGGTACACATTTTGGTGTACCCCTAGCATTACTCTTGACTAAAATCAAAATGCCACTGCTTTCTACATACATACATTAAAGTACGTACGCAGTATATATATATATATATATATATATATATATATATATATATATATATATATATATATATATATATATATATATATATATATATATATATATCTTCTCCATTGCTTCTCCTTCACACAAACGCACCAGCTAAGAAAAAGCAAGAAGCTGCCCGGTTTGTACACTAATATAATTAATCAATATGAAAATGGTGAGGACGAGCGACAAGCAAAAGATGGCCTATTCCGGCGACACGGCGGCAGAGACGGCGGCAAGGAAGAAGTACAAAGGCGTGAGGATGCGAAGCTGGGGGTCATGGGTGTCGGAGATCCGGGCGCCATATCAGAAGACAAGAATATGGCTGGGCTCATACTCCACCCCGGAGTGCGCCGCCAGAGCCTACGACGCCGCGCTCTTATGCCTCAAAGGCCCCTCCGCCGCCGCCGCCTCTCTCAACTTCCCTCACCACCTCTCCTCCTACCCCATTCCCCCTTCTCCCCCCGGCGCCGTCTTCTCCCCCAAAGCCATCCAGCGCATAGCCGCTGCCGCCGCCGCGAATTCTTGCCCGGTCCCTCCGCCGCATTGGGAAGAAGCAGCGGCCGAGACAGATGACGACGTGGAATATTGCATGGACGACGTCATCATCGGTGGGGAATTGGAAGTTCATTCCCCTCGCCGTCATGATCAAACTCCGGCTGCCATAATGGCGGCGCAGTGCAGCTGGTACAACTTTGACTCCCCAAAGTACAGCAACATGTTCGGTAACGACGGTTTCTTTGCCGGCGACCCACAGTTGATTGACCAAATGTACGATGATAATGGAGAAATTCGGCTGTGGAGTTTCACCTGATTTGATATCTCTTCTGTTAGACAATAATATTATGTATTCCTAGTTACGGTAGAAGTTGTATTTTAGTTAGTTTCCATTCTTTATTCCTAGTTGTGTTAGGAGTCTCTTCTATATATACTCTATCATGTACTTCATAATCCAAGGAGCAATATTATTATTTCAATATTTCAACATGGTATCAGAGTCATCGCTCTTGGTGACCTAAAAGAGTTCTTTCCTTCCGCCGCCGCCGCCGGTAATTCTGGCGACGGCGACTCCACCCCATTCACCTCTATTTTCTTTTCTTTCTTTTATTCTCAAATCAACTTATCCATTCAAATGAAAAAAAAGAAAAAAAACCTTGTTGAAATCACACAAAAAGAATCATCAAAGGAGGAACTTCTCTCTTGTCATCTTCATGGTTCGTCAAAAAAACTCCAACTCCTAACAAATTCTCTCAACTCATCCTATCTTCTCAAAAAAAGAGAAAAAAACAATTGTTATTTCTCTCTAATTCACCATATCAAAATCTCAGCCCCAAATCTTTCTTCCATCATCAATTCTTAACTCACTTTTTTTCTCTCTCTCAAATCACTCATTCTAATCATCAAACTCTCTTCTCTTTCTCTTTTGTTGAACCAATAAAAAATTTAAAAAAAAAAACACAAAAGCAAAGCCAAAAGGGGAAGTAGTGAAAAAGGAAAGAATACCTCTACACCCCTTCAAGAAAGAAATAGGGCATTGCCCGGATCCAATAAAAAAACAAAGAATGTCAAAGATCTTCAGTCAAAGAGACCGCACAAATAGCTTTTTCTATTCTTCTTCGACGTCAGCAGCTACAAGCGCACGTCAACCTTCTCTTTTCTTCTTCGAAGTCAGCAGCTACCAGCGCACGTCAATCATTTCTCTCTTCTTCAATAACGATGTCTGCAGCTACCAGTGCATGTCAGACTTCTCTCCTCTCCAACGACGTCAGCAGCCACCGGCGCACGTCAGACTTCTCTCTTCTCCAACGACGCCAGCAGCCACCAGTGCACGTCAGATTTCTCTCTCCTCAAAGTTTCCAGTTTCCGGCTAGTGTTCAAGCTTCCTCTTGCTTCAGCCAGAGTTCAGCTTGAGGGGGGATGTTAGACAATAATATTAAGTATTCCTAGTTATGGTAGAAGTTGTATTTTAGTTAGTTTCCATTCTTTATTCCTAGTTGTGTTAGGAGTCTCTTCTATATATACTCTATCATTACTACATAATCCAAGGAGCAATATTATTATTTCAATATTTCAACATCTTCATTTTTCTTATATTTTCGTTTAGTGATTATTCAATTTATTGTTCAATTTATTATTCAGCTTATATATTCGTTCAAACACAAACAAACAATGCTACCGGAGTAGTTCAAAAATCCTATCCTATATACTACCTCCGTCCCACTGTCTTTGTCTACATTTGACTTTTGGAACTGTTCATCTAAGCACTTTGACTCATCAAATTCTCTCAATGTGTAAGCCTAAAAATAGTCATGTGTGATCTTGTTTGATTCGTCTTAACATATGGATTATTAATATATAATTTCTATAATTATTTAATATACAAATTACAAGATAAAATGGATTAAAGAAGTGCATTGGATGGTGTGCCAAAAGGTAAGTGGACAAAGACCGTGGGACGGAGGGAGTATATATATGTAAAAGAGAGTTCAATTGTTGTAGTGTTGACATGTGACATGCCACATGTGCATCTACATGTGCACTCACTAATGATGTGGATTTATGCATTTCAATTCATTGGTCCATTTTGATTTTCTTAAAAGACCTTTGAATACTTTTGCATAAAACTTTTTCATTTTTTAATAATTCTATAAATATATATTTCATTATTGTAAAATATACTCCATATATATATATATATATATATATATATATATATATAATATATATATATATACACACACACACACACACACATATATATATATATATAACTATTTTTATACTATCCACAACTTATTTTAGTTTATTACTTTTTAAAAAAATGATTATATAAATTTAATCACATATGCATATTTATTAATTAAATATTTTGTTTCAAAAATTTTATCTGATTACATTATTTATTCTATTGCTACAAATATTTTTAACAAACTAAATAAAATAAAATTGCTTTCGTTGAAGGGTAACGACTGACAAGTGACATTATGACACACATATATTCTCTAATGATGTATCATTATGTAATTAATCCACTTTTTATAAAAATATTTTATTAATTAAAACTATTTTTATTAGTACTAAATTCAATGACCATTAATTTTGTAGAATTTGTTTGTTTTTAAATTAACATACTAATATATATTCAACCAATTTAGAATATATTTTTGTTGGAATGCATGAGTTCAACCCTTTTGTGTTATTAAGTGTTGACTCACAGGTTTTGATAATTGACAAACACAATTTATTGAAGTCAAGATCAGAGTGCTACAACGACAAACACGAAGACTTGAAGTGCCATTCCTTGAAGTATTCAAGAAGGTGCACAGAATTTTATTGAAGTCCGAGACGCGTTCGGAGCGCCTAACGGAGGACTCGGAGGAGTAAAAGATTTCCGAAGACTTTTTATTTATTTGAGTCGTAGGAACATTTGTAAGGATGACAAAAATATCTTCTCTCCAAATTTTTTTTATGAGTGTTAAAATAAAAATTATATTTATTTTTGGAGTCAGTTCAAAAATCTTTTTAACTGTTCAAAATAGTTTTATTGAGTCAGTTACAAAAGGTGTGCCAAACATTTATCAAATATTTATTTTGATATTATAAAATATTTTTGGTAAGTAAAAATATTTTATTCAAATTTTTCTGTGTACATCGTTTGACACACAAAATAATTTTTGGACTCACTTTTACTCCCTTATTCAAATTCATTGAATAAGAGAGGAGGAGCGCTTCCCTGATTCCCGTTGTCTCAAACAAACATATACGCTCCGTTTTATCCTCCCTACTCGCCCACATGCTTGTGTCCTTCATGTCTAGGCATTATTGTTCCAATAATCGATTTTACCTTTGGAATTAATCAATTATCGCGTCCCGAAGGAACTAATCGATTAACACCTTTGGTTTTAATCGATTATCACTTTTCTGCGCAGAAGGAATTTGGCTCTGGCAATTTTAATCGATTTTTTCAGCTGCCATAATCGATTTTTTATGANTTATTTTGAATAATGTTTGAGATGATGAGGAGCCTTACCCCTGAAATTTTTGTTGGAAACAACCTATAAGCTCCAATTTTGTCCTTCACCTCGCCCACATGCTTGTGTTCTTCTTGTTTGGGCATTATTGTTGCAATAATCGATTTTACCTTTGGAATTAATCGATTATCGCGTCCAGAAGGAACTAATCGATTAACACCTTTGGTTTTAATCGATTATCACTTTTCTGCGCAGAAGGAATTTGGCTCTGGCAATTTTAATCGATTTTTTCAGCTGCCATAATCGATTTTTTATGATGCATTAATCGATTATGGTGATGCATTAATCGATTATTATGATGCATCTTTTCTGCAAAGCTTCTTTTATTGGACCAACGGATATATTTCTTCACCTCCTATTTAAACACTCTTCCTTGGTCATTTTTCTTAAGAACAAGCACTCCTAAACTCCCATATCTTGAGGTTATAATCCTCCATTCATTTCTTCCTCAAATTGATATATTTTGAGAGAAAACTAAGTGTTTTCAAGAGAGTGTTCTTGTCATCCATAGAGCTTAATCTTTTCTCATTTCTACTCTTGTGAGAGTCATTGTTGTGAGGTTGAAGAAGATTGTTCTTCTTGTTGTTCAAGACTTATGTGATTTAAGTCTTGGTTGTGAAGTCTTGTAGAAGGCATATCTACGAGCGGTTGTGTCGAGGCTTGTGGGATTCAAGTTCTCGAGTTGTAAACGGTTTGTTAAGCACCCGTAAGCTTAACGGAAGTAGTGGTAGCTTCGAGAGAGTCTCTTGGGGAACTGGACTAGCCACGAGGTGGTGAACCAGTATATATCGGTGTGTTCTTTGCCTTCTCTATTTTATTTCCGCTGCACTTACGTTTATATTATTAATCCTGCGAAAATCGGTAAACATTCTCAACAACTCTATTCACCCCTCCCCTCTAAAGTTGCACGCCTTGTCTAACAATTTTGTCACTATTAAAAAACTAAATAACTAAAATTATATTTATATAATCTCTCAGAAATTTAGAATATATACGAGCCCGTGCGAAGCACGGGATTAACACTAGTAGAACTATAATTTCAAAAACTTACCATAAATTCTCATTTTAAAATTATTTATGCCTACTTCATATTTTATTGAAATTCACAAATACTCCCTTCGTTTCTTAAAACGGTTCTTGTTTTGACTTTGATGCAAAATAAGGAAAGTATAATTTTAATTGACTTTCCAATTTTGCCTCTGATGTGATGGATAAAAGTAAGATGTGATAACTTAGTTATTAGTGAGAAAGTATGATGTGATAGGTAGGGTATGAAAAAGTAGGGGTAAAAGTGGGTTTTCAATAGAAAAAGAAAGTGTTTTAAGGAAAACAAAAAAATGAAAGGGGAAAGGTTTTAAGAAATGGATGTAGTATTAAATTTGTGAAATTTGTGAAGGCTTTATTTGTGAACCAAGCATTTTCCTACTTATTTTACGGGCCGGAGCCTGGAGGAGAGCATAAAAGGATACTCATACTCTCCTAAGAGTGCTAAGTTTGTAATTCCGGCAAATTCTAGCTATGGAGCACTAGTTAAAAAAAAGAGAAAAGTGCATCGTTTATTCATAACCTTTTAGAAATTACATGGTTTACCCTTGAACATTAAAAAGGATATCGTTTACCCTTGAACGATGTAAAAATTGTATGATTTACCGATGAACATTAAAATGCACCAAATACCCCTGAACAATTTAAAATGTTGCATCGTTGGTCCTAAGAAACTAGATAGAGAGTGTGTTGCTCTCATGCACAAGAATTGCGAGTATGATTTACGTGGCCCTTGTGAATTCTCCAAAAAACCTTTCCCCAAAATTATCGTCTTTATTTAAATATTCAAAAGTAAATCGTGCATATTCTAAAGATTTCTGAAGTAATATTTGGTCCATTTTTAAAAATTCAAGGGTAAGACATGCAATTTTTAAATAATTCAAAAGTATTTGGTGTATTTTAAATTTTCAAGAATAAACTGTGCAATTTTTAAAAAATTTGAAAGTAAACCGTACAATTTTCTCAAAAAAATATACTCCCTCCGTCCCTAAATATTTGCCACATTTGTATTCCCGAGGCAAAATATCAAGTTTTTTCAATTCATTTTATTTACATATTGGTATAGAAATAAAAAATAAAGTTTACATATCAAAAAATTACATGAAAAGTTCTTCAAAATAAGAGGTGTCAAGAATATTTTATTTTATCAAATAACCAATGAAAACGTAGAAATAAACAAAAGTTCCCGCGACTGCTGAAAAAGCTAATGTTGCAAATATTTTGGGACGGAGGGAGTATTCCGTATAGTAGGTACGTATTAGTACTCCGTATAGTATAATAGTGAGCTGTCTCTAATAAATAGCTTTACGTAGTTTTTTTTTTTTTGTACAGTGGAAACGCGGAGATGCTAAGGCTGGAGTAAGGGTGTACGTTGACTCATTCCCCTCCATCACTCCCACAGTCCCACTCAATTGAGCCTCACCTCAACTCATTCTCTACCCCTCCACGCCTTTTTTTATAAATAAACCAAGATCAAAGAGTTGTTTGGAAAATAGGCATTGAAACCCCATCTATTTTTAATACTAGTATTTTAACCCGTGCCATGCACGGGTGGAACGAAATTGTTTTTTATTATACAATTTCAAATATTTAAACAACTTAATTTTTTTTATGTTATATATACCATTTAAATTTCAATCACACACACACATACACACACACACATAAAATCTAGGTTTACTAAATTATTACAAATATATAATTCTTTTCACCCCCTGAATTCAAAAAATATACGACAAAATTATTGGTGATTTTATTATTCATCTCCCCCGCATTTATTTAACAAACTTAGATTTCCGATCTTGTAATTTTAATATAAAAAAATCATGATTCTTCTCCGTCAGACTAATTTACATTAACGGAAATATATGATTTTAATTTGTGAAGTAATTGCAAATATAAAACCAAGCTGTTGAGTACAAAATAAATATGTTATCTCAACAACTTAAAAGTCTAATATATTTTACGTGTTTTAACAATTTATTTTCTAATCTTCTCATTTTTATAAAGTTTCATTGTAGTTTTAAAATAAGTGTTTCTAATCTTCTCATATTTTAATAAATATAATCAAACTGATTGCTTCGATTTAAATATATCATAAAAATATGAAATTTATTTTAAAGTGAAGAAATATCTTATTAATTGCTTAGGGCCAATTTAGTGAATTTTGGAGATATTATAAGATGTGGGTTATGAAAACTCAAAGAAATGATATGGACTTTGTAATCTAAAATTATTTTATTTGGAGAGATTTAAATTCAGGATTTAATTAGTTATAAGAAAAGGTGACTGACAACGGGAGTGGTTGGCAGTAATAATAATAGCGAGTGACAAAGAATGATCCATAGTTGAGAGAGATATCAAACCCCCATATTGATATCTCCTAAATTCGGGAGATATTGAGACCATCAATTTTAAAGATTTATGATATCTGCAGATATTAAAT